ATCTTATTTTTTATTGGCTAAGGAGAATATTCATACATTATCCTGACTTTTTCTCCTCTCAAAATAAAACTGTTGAGACAGTATCCCATTTTTCTTAGGCTGGTGTCAAACTTCCTATGTAACCAAGGATCAATTCCAAGGCGGTGTGCATGCTATGCAAGCATTCTACCTCCCCAGCTCCTTTAAAAAATCTTCAAACTTCCAAAGCTTGCCAGGTGTTAGTGGTGCACGCCTTTAATCCCAGCAACAGGGAAGCAGAGGCAGGCAGATCTCTGTGAGTTTGAGGCCAGTCTGATCTCCAGAGCGAGTTCTGGGACAGGCTACATAGCACTAGAGAAAAACCCTGTCTTGAAAAAACAAAAATAAAATAAAATAAAAAAGCTTAAATAGAACTGCTACTTAGATCTAATTAGATAAATGCAACTTAAACAAAGAGTGCTAGAGGCAGAATACCTGCTCCAACGCTTGGGCAAATCACTCACTCTCCCTCGTAATGGATTTCCCTACTTGTAAAATGGAGACATTAATAGTACACAAGGTTATTGTAAGAATGAAATGCTCCGATCCATCTGGAACCTTGCTATCAGAGTATGGTTTCCAACTCAGTAGTAACTGCATCATCTGGGTGCTTGATATCAATTCAAAATGTGCATTTCAATAAAATTGTTATAGGATTCTTTCTTTAAAAAATGTTCTGTGTGGAGCTGGAGAGATAGCTCAGTAGTTAAGAGCTTAAATAGTTTTCATTTTCCCTGATTTTGCACTCATCCCTACATACTTGATTTTCTCATTTTAAGTCATACACTTTATTCATCATTCCAGAAAGTGAGTTTGTGAAATTAGAGGACTAGAGGACATAAGGCTGTTCCTTGGAGCCCCCAGGGACAGTGTGTAAAGCTGTTGGTTACACCCCTTCTGGAGCAACAAGCTTCTCTTTGTCAATGTGGAGTTCCTTTGTGTCCTCAACCATGGCTTTTGTACAAAGAAAATATTATTCAGAGGCTAATTTTGTTCTTGGAAATAATATTCAATTCAAATTAAATCAACAAATTTTAAAGCTGAGATCTTTCTTAAATTTTTAAGTTCAAATTGTAAATTGTAAATTCTACTATTTGCCCTATAAACACAGTTAGATTTTATAAAAAAAAATACAGGTATTTTAATAATTAAGTTCTTTAAATCAATTTAAACCACACTTATATATACATGTCACAAACTTCCTAAGTACATCCACTGTTTCCTAACAACTTTCTCAAGAATGTCACTGACTCTAATAAATCTAATAAATTCGCCTTCTAAATAAGTTCTTGCAAATGTTCTAATATTTTTTATAAATATGGTAAACTGGTTGTTACAAACCTAAATTAATTGCTCAATACACATTTTAATTAGGAACATAAGGCTAATAAGTCAAATAAGCAAATAGTTAAAATTAGACATTAAATTAGACATTAGAGCAAATAAAGAATTCCCACACGTAACACAAAATTAGAAACACTGTTCATCTGACACAATTGTTCATCTCTATACTTACCTGTATATCTTCTTTGTATTAGAGTGGTGGTTCAAAGCAGAGTGTAATCTTGCCTTGCAGGGTGCACTGGGAGATGTCTGGAGATATTTTTAATGTTACAACAAAGGTGGGGGAGGAGAACTCCTGGCATCGAATTAAATATACTCTCGTGCACAGAAGTTGTGGTGAAGGAACATTTCCTTTCCATTTTCTGTTTTCTAGGAATTAACTAACAATGAATAAATAGGAGAAAAGGCATATCAAGTTACTAATGTGCAAACAGAAAAAATTTAAATACAGAGGGTAAATCACATGAAGTTGATCATCTACTCTCAACAATATTTAGGGAATCAATGGGGATTGTAGGCAATATTTAAAACAATGGTAAATTATATTTTAGAGGTACTTGATGCACCTTTTAGCCATTGCTTTTGGAGTTTCATTTTTTTCCTTTCCAATCTAGTACTAATACCTTTCAGTAGTGGCACTAGCATTTCAACAGGTATTAAAAGTTTAACCTAAAGGAATGAAATTGGCCAAGTATAGTGCTGAACAGCTAGAATAACAACACCTGGGAGGAAGAGGCAGTATGATTAGGAGTTCAAGTCCAGCCTAGGCTACATAGTGAGTTCTAATTCAGCCTGAGCTAATTAAAAAGTAAAAACAAAAGCAGAAAAGAAAGAAAAGTTTCAAACTTTCAGGTAGAAAGCAACAGTAAGGATTTTGAGGTAGTCCTTCTTTGGGATGTAGCCCTAATATATATAAAATTAGGAGCTATGCTTTGTAATTGTCTTCTACCTTGGTGACTCAGCAATGCTATCCAGTCTGTAAAAATGCCATTGTAAATGCTACTGGCTTATGCAACTATTCACTTAAATGATCATGAATTCTTTCAAATGAAAATGAAAAATGAAAAATAATTTTGTGTTTAATACCCCCATTTGATTGGTTTTCACAAAAATCCCATATCTTCAAAACTATAATAGACTTGTATTTAGGCACTCTTTTCTTCTTCCCTTTCTTTTTACTCATTTCTGAGGTAAAAATTTATGTATCCCAGTCTAGCCTTGAACTCACAATGCAGCCAAGAGGGAGCTTGAACCCCACTTCAACCCTCCTGCTTCTACTTCCCCAGTGCTGGGATTACAGATGTACACCACCATGCTCAGTTTTATTCAGAGATCAAACCCAGGACTTCATGAATACTCAGCATGTACTCTGCCAACTGAGCTACAACCCCAGCCTGGACTTGAGAACTCTTAAAATCTGTGGTTTCTCCTTATTTGTATCCTCTGCTAAGGGCATAAAAATCTAGAAGCAGACTTGAATAAGCTGCAAATATCTTTACATTCACACACGCACAGTAGAATGTAGTCCAGGAAGCAAATCTGTGCCTGGCGTGCTCTAGCTCTAACAAGAAACTATCACTACTTAGTCATACAGCTGAAAAACATCAATCCTATCAACTTGGAAACTATATGTAAGAATTCCAGTGGCTAAGAAAATATGAATCACGAGGGCTGGGAAAAGGAAAACTGGATTACACTTATACGATATTAAAAAACCTATTATGTGTGTGGGTGCCTTACACATCATTTGATACTGAGTTATGTCTAGAGATAGATCCTCCCAGGACAAGAAGTTAAATATGTTTTCTTACTTAACCTCTAAGAGTATGGGAGCCAATGTGAAGCTGTAGTTCTAAGGTTGAATTTCTAATCTCTGCTCTCATTTCAAACACATGTTAATTCATCCAAACACAAGGTCATTTATCCATCTATAAAGTTATATCCTAAATATTGAAGATTTCCAAAGTGCAATTGAGCTGCCAAACACCGTGAACTACCAATGGAAAAAAATCTCTCCTTCACAGGCATTGCAAAAGCCATGGGCAGTTTCTCACTGAAATTTGGCTCATCACATTTTCCAGAAATACCCCAAAATGTTTATTTTGGTTTAAAGGGATAAAAATTGCTTGCTGGTTGCTATAATGTGTGCTTGTGTCAAGCTGAATATCAGCCCTTGAGACTTTCTTACTGCACATTCATGAATAAGAAGCAGAAATCCCATGGACGAGCTCAGTGTTTGCAAATATGCATACACAGCCAAAGTAGATGGTCCCGAAGCCAGAATAAAAACAGTCAACACCTGAAAAGCAAGTAATTTTATGTGTAACATCAGCTTCTCTCAAACAAAGCAAAACAGTTCAAAACAAACAAAACTACAGAATATGGACGTAAGTAGGAAGCTGTGTGGTCAGAATGTGTAGAAGATAAGTTTGAGATCAATCAAATAATACCTTATTGGACAGGATGGCAACTGGAAATAGAAGTCATACTCAGCTGAAATCTGTAATGACCACTGCTCAGAGAGACCCTAGATTGAGGTATGGGCAGGATTGAAGGAACCAAACAGATGTGTCAGAGTATCCAGGAACATGAGAAACATTTGCTCTCCCTGACACAGAAAGGGGAAGATAAAACAGTGTTATGAGCTCCCTATAAGAGCTGAAGCTATGGACAGGGGACAAGTTATAATTGTAAAGGAGATCAACTTCCCCAATCCCAGTGTCATACAATCTCCTGTGGTGACTCTCATTGGACAAATCCAAACAGAATCCAAAGATTAAAGGAAAGGGGGTCTTGGATACAGAGTAGGGACCAAAATTAAGGTATGATTAAGGGAAGAAGGAAATTAAAACAGGATATCAGTGTGTGAGAAAATGTAAAAGAATGGAAACAATGTCAATCTCCAAACTTTGGCTTGAGGATTAAATGATTATGCATGGATAATATGGATCACAGTCCTGTCACAAGAAGGGTAAATTAGTGATAACTAGTGGACTTTTGTTTGCCTGCTTGTTTGTCCTGTTTTGAGACAGGGTCTCATATTGCTCAGGTTGTACTGCAACTTCTAAGTAGGATCTTAAACTCTTGGTCCTCTTGCTTCTTCCTCCCGAGTGGTGGCATTTCCAGAATATGTTGCTACCCAGCATTTATGCAGTGCTAAAACTGAACCAGGACTCAATGCATGCCAGGCAAGCACTCAACCTATATCTACACCTACACCTACACTTACACCTACACCTACATCTACACCTACACCTATACTTACACCTATATCTATACCTACACCTGCATCTACATCTATACCTACATCTACACCTACACCTACACCTACATCTACATGTACATGTACATCTACACCTACGCCTACATCTACACCTATGCCTACATCTACACCTACACCTACATCTATACCTACACCTACACCTATATCTGCATCTACAACTACACCAACATCTACACCTACACCAACATCTACACCTACACCTATACCTACACCTGCACCTACACTTATATCTACACCTGCACCTACACTTATATCTACACCTACACCTACACCTACATCTACATGTACATCTACACCTACACCTACACCTGCATCTACACCTACATCTACATCTATACCTACACCTACACCTACACCTACATCTACACCTACACCTACATCTACACCTACACCTACACCTACAACTACATCTACACCTACACCTACATCTACACCTACATCTACACCTACACCTACATCTACACCTACAACTACACCTACACCTACATCTACACCTATATCTATACCTACACCTACATCTACACCTACATCTACACCTACACCTACATCTACACCTACATCTACACCTACATCTACACCTACACCTACATCTACACCTGCATCTACACCTACATCTACACCTACATCTACACCTACACCTACAACTACATCTACACCTACACCTACATCTACACCTACATCTACACCTACATCTACACCTACATCTACACCTACATCTATACCTACACCTACAACTACACCTGCACCTACATCTACACCTACATCTACACCTACACCTACATCTACACCTACATCTACACCTACATCTATACCTACACCTACAACTACACCTACACCTACACCTACATCTACACCTACATCTACACCTACATCTACACCTACACCTACACCTACACCTATATCTGCATCTACACCTACACCAACATCTACACCTACACCTACACCTACACCTACATCTACACCTACATCTATACCTACACCTACAACTACACCTACACCTACATCTACACCTACATCTATACCTACACCTACATCTACACCTACAACTACACCTACACCTACATCTACACCTACATCTATACCTACACCTACATCTACACCTACACCTACATCTACACCTACATCTACACCTACACCTACATCTACACCTGCATCTACACCTACATCTACACCTACATCTACACCTACACCTACAACTACATCTACACCTACACCTACATCTACACCTACATCTACACCTACATCTACACCTACATCTACACCTACATCTATACCTACACCTACAACTACACCTACACCTACATCTACACCTACATCTACACCTACACCTACATCTACACCTGCATCTACACCTACATCTACACCTACACCTACAACTACATCTACACCTACACCTACATCTACACCTACATCTACACCTACATCTACACCTACATCTACACCTACATCTATACCTACACCTACAACTACACCTACACCTACATCTACACCTACACCTACATCTACACCTACATCTACACCTACACCTACACCTACACCTATATCTGCATCTACAACTACACCAACATCTACACCTACACCTACATCTACATCTATACCTACACCTACACCTACACATACATCTACACCTGCACCTACACCTACATCTATACCTACACCTACATCTACACCTACATCTACACCTACACCTACATCTACACCTACATCTACACCTACATCTACACCTACACCTACATCTACACCTGCATCTACACCTACATCTACACCTACATCTACACCTACACCTACAACTACATCTACACCTACACCTACATCTACACCTACATCTACACCTACATCTACACCTACATCTACACCTACATCTATACCTACACCTACAACTACACCTGCACCTACATCTACACCTACATCTACACCTACACCTACATCTACACCTACATCTACACCTACATCTATACCTACACCTACAACTACACCTACACCTACACCTACATCTACACCTACATCTACACCTACATCTACACCTACATCTACACCTACACCTACACCTACACCTATATCTGCATCTACAACTACACCAACATCTACACCTACACCTACACCTACACCTACATCTACACCTACATGTATACCTACACCTACAACTACACCTACACCTACATCTACACCTACATCTATACCTACACCTACATCTACACCTACAACTACACCTACACCTACATCTACACCTACATCTATACCTACACCTACATCTACACCTACACCTACATCTACACCTACATCTACACCTACATCTACACCTACACCTACATCTACACCTGCATCTACACCTACATCTACACCTACATCTACACCTACACCTACAACTACATCTACACCTACATCTACATCTACACCTACATCTACACCTACATCTACACCTACATCTACACCTACATCTATACCTACACCTACAACTACACCTACACCTACATCTACACCTACATCTACACCTACACCTACATCTACACCTGCATCTACACCTACATCTACACCTACACCTACAACTACATCTACACCTACACCTACATCTACACCTACATCTACACCTACATCTACACCTACATCTACACCTACATCTATACCTACACCTACAACTACACCTACACCTACATCTACACCTACACCTACATCTACACCTACATCTACACCTACACCTACACCTACACCTATATCTGCATCTACAACTACACCAACATCTACACCTACACCTACATCTACATCTATACCTACACCTACACCTACACATACATCTACACCTGCACCTACACCTACATCTATACCTACACCTACATCTACACCTACATCTACACCTACACCTACATCTACACCTACATCTACACCTACATCTACACCTACACCTACATCTACACCTGCATCTACACCTACATCTACACCTACATCTACACCTACACCTACAACTACATCTACACCTACACCTACATCTACACCTACATCTACACCTACATCTACACCTACATCTACACCTACATCTATACCTACACCTACAACTACACCTACACCTACATCTACACCTACATCTACACCTACACCTACATCTACACCTGCATCTACACCTACATCTACACCTACATCTACACCTACACCTACAACTACATCTACACCTACACCTACATCTACACCTACATCTACACCTACATCTACACCTACATCTACACCTACATCTACACCTACATCTATACCTACACCTACAACTACACCTACACCTACATCTACACCTACACCTACATCTACACCTACACCTACACCTACACCTATATCTGCATCTACAACTACACCAACATCTACACCTACACCTACATCTACACCTACATCTACATCTATACCTACACCTACACCTACACATACATCTACACCTGCACCTATACCTACATCTATACCTACACCTACACCTATATCTGCATCTACAACTACACCAACATCTACACCTACACCTACACCTACATCTACACCTACATCTATACCTACACCTACAACTACACCTACACCTACATCTACACCTACACCTACATCTACACCTACATCTACACCTACATCTACACCTACATCTATACCTACACCTACATCTACACCTACATCTACACCTACACCTACATCTACACCTACATCTACACCTACACCTACATCTATACCTACACCTACATCTACACCTACACCTACACCTACACCTACATCTATACCTACACCTACACCTACACCTTTATCTGCATCTACAACTACACCTACAACTATACCTACACCTACATCTATACCTACACCTACACCTACACCTATATCTGCATCTACAACTACACCAACATCTCCACCTACACCAACATCTACACCTAAACCTACATCTACACCTGCACCTACACTTATATCTACATGGACCCCTACACCATAAAACATTCATCTATTCTATCATCTTCAGGTCTCAAACTTCTTCCTCACCTGCCTTTGATTTCTGAAGTTTTCCAAAAGAACAAAGCTGTTCTTTCTGTTGCTAAAGTGAAGACATGAAGTGAAAACAGCCCTTGGGAAGAGACTTGTTAGATGCTTCCTGAGAAGCAAATATTGGTGCAGTTAGAAATGGTGAAAGCCCTGCTAACACCCTCAGTGGCTACTGTTGCTATCAACTTAAACACTTCAGTGAGCAATAATTTGAAACAAGAAACAACATCAAATTCTCTTAATAGGAGCTGGGGAATGTAGCTCAGTGACAGAGTGCCTGCCTCCTATGTGTGAGGTTGTGGGTTCTATCCTCAACGTTACAAAAATTCTAACAACACCTCTATGTAAATTGTAATCTCACAAAGTAGGTAATTAATCCTAATATCATATTTCTACGGCTGACACACACTTCAACTTCTGTTAAACATTGATATTTGGAGATTTTCTGAATCTCGTAGTTCTGAGAATTTTTTCTATTCAACATTTCTTTCCATGCCTTAATCTTGAAAATCAATGGTTGAAGTACATGATGTACTTGAAACAAATCATACATATGAAACCAATGATGCTGTACAAAATTATCCGTCTTGATATTTTATCTTTGTGTATAATGTATTTGTATGTGTTTGTACATGTACATGTAAGTACAGGCATGCACTATGCACATGTCAAGGTCAAAGGACAACCTCCAGTGATGGTCCTTGACTTCCATCTTGTTGGAAGCAGGGTTTCTCTTTGTTTGCTACTGTGTACACAAGGCTAGCTTACCTGCAAGTTTCTGAAGGTCTTCCTGTATCTACCTCCCATCTCACCATGGGAAAACTGGGGCTACACAAACACTACCAGGTTTTTTGAGACAGATATTCTGTTGCCATGGGCAAAAACAGTGACAAACTACAAATGAGTGACGATGTGCCAGTGCAACATTTAATTTGTGAATTCTGGGATTCAAATTTTATATCATTTCTACAGGTGAAAATATTCTTATTTTTCACCTTAGCAGCTGAGCACAATTAAGCAGTGGGCCAGATTTGCCCATTATACCAAGGGAGCAAACTCTGTTCTATTTGATGTATTATCTTATTACATCATGCAAAGAAAATTGAATAATGTTTTATTTCAAAATTAGATTCTCCATAAACTTACCTAAAACATTGGCTAAAGCACAATTATTTTAATAGGCAATGAAGTTTTCCTGAAAAATATTTGTCTCTTAAATAAGTTTTAGCATACAAAACTATACCTTTCAGTTTTATTGTTACCCAAACTCATTAAACCATATTCACTCTGAAATTTCATAATCAAAATAATCTTATATTACGGGAGAAATGAATTGTTTTTTTCCTTTTTTAATTTAAATTAGAAACAAGGTTGTTGTACATGTCAATCCCAGTTCCCTCTCCCTTCCCTCCTCCCCTGCCCCCCACCAACCCCCTATCCCATCCCCTTTCTGCTCCCCAGGCAGGGTAAGGCCTTCCATGGTGGATCTTCAAAGTCTGTCATGTCATTTGGAGCAGGGCTTAGACACTCCCCCATGCGTCTAGGCTGAGAGAGTATCCATCCATGTGAAATGGGTTCTCAAAGTCCATTCGTATACTAGGGATAAATACTGATCCACTACCAGAGTCCCCATAGATTAAGCAGACCTCCAAACTGACATCCACATTCAGGGGGTCTGAAACAGACCTATGCTGATTTCCCAGCTATCAGTGTGGGGTCCATGAGCTCATCCTTGTTCAAGTCAGCTGTTTCTGTGGGTTTCTCCAGCCCGGTCTTGAACCCTTTGCTCATCACTTCTCCCTCTCTGCAACTGGGTTCCAGGAGTTCAGCTCAGTGCTTAGCAGTGGGTGTCTGCTTCTGCCTCCATCAGCTACTGGATGAAGGCTCCAGGATGGCATATAAGGTAGTCATCAATCTCATTATCAGGGAAGGGAATTTAAAGTAGCCTCTCTACACTATTGCTTAGATCGTTAGTTGGTGTCATCCTTGTAGATATTTGGACATTTCCCTAGTGCCAGATTTGTCTTTAAGCCTATAATGGCTCCCAATATTATGGTATCTCTTTTCTTGGTCTCCTCTATTCTGACTCGATCTTCCTGCTCTCTCACATCCTCCTCTCCCCTCCTCTTCTCCCCTTTTCTTCCTCATAACTCCCTCTCCCTTCCCCCCATGCACTCAATTAGCTCAGGAGATCTTGTCCCTTTCCCCCTCTTAGGGACCTCCTTGTTTCCTAGTCAGCAGAAATAAATTGTAAGTACTCTGATTTGGTCATCCATCTCTCTCTCACACACACACACACAATTATCATATGTATTTAGAAAATTTGAAGATAGTTTTACAAGAGATACTTTGAGTGCTTTTGATAATCACTAGGACTTTTTTCTCTTTTTTTGATATAGGGATTCTCTGTGTAACTCTGGCTATCCTGGACCTTCCTCTGCAGACGAGGCTTGCCTTGAACTCACAGAGATCTGCCTGACTCTGCCTCCTGAGTGCTTAGACTAAAAGTGTGTGTCATCACCACCTGTCAATTTTTTTCTCCCTTTTCCAGATTCTTTTCTAAAAATTATTTCCTCACTTTGCTAGATATGTGTATTTTCTTTTGCTTTTGAGACAACATCTCTTGTACCCAGGCTGACCAGGAACTCACACTGCAGTGGAGAATGCCCTTGAACTCCTGATTCTCCTAACTCTACCTCTCAAGAGCTGGAATACTCCCAAGGCAGGCACTTAAACACAATTGATTTATACCGTACATGAGGACCCAATGCTTCATGCATTTTAGGCAAACACTCTACCAACTCACTTACAGGCATAGTCCTCTCTATGTAATTTTTGCAGTAAGGAAGACCTTAACTTTAGATTTCATGAATATGCTAATTCATAACAGTATCATTTTCCTTGAAATTCACATTAAAATTTCATTTCTTAAGTTGGGCACAGTGTTGCAAACCTGTGATCCCAACCTTTGGGAGGTAAAAGCAGGAAGATCAGGAAGTTCAGGGACATCTTCTACTACATAATAACTTGTAGATGGTTTCTTTTTTCTTTTTCTTTTTATTTAACCTCTTTGGAGGCCCATCACCCAGTTCCAAATAAATACACAGAGACTTATTCTTATTTATGAGTGCTCAGCCTTAGCTTGGCTTTTTCTAGCCAGCTTTTCTAACTTAAATCACCCTGTTTCTTTTTAACTACATTTTACTTCTGGACGTTTTAGCTCTCTTTATTCTATATATCTTGCTTTCCTTCTTACTCTGTGGTTGGCTGTGTGGCTGAGTGACTGGCCTCTGCCATCCTCCTCTCCTCATTTTATTGCTTCTC